ACCTTGTTGTTCGCAAGGCTTTCTCGTTATTCCACTTCGTTTGTTATTGTGTTTACCAGCCCGTTGCTTCGCATTTCTCTTCCCTTTCGAGTTTATGACGCGGCTAGAATAGCAGGAGAGATGATTCCTGCAGCGAATAAGCCGGTCTCCCCGCTGTTCTTGGCCTGTAATCTTCACGCGAATGCACCCGGGTTGTCCACGAATGCACCTGGGTTGCCCCCAGAATCCACCTGGTTGCCCACGAATCAACCCGGGTTGCCCACTGATAGCCCACGAATCCACCTGGAAACCAAAACTGCTTTGCGTGCAAGAAAAGTAGTTATCATGCAGGGTCAGAACCTTGTGTCTTTTTGGAAATGGCCAAAATTTTAGTTCCAGAAAAAAGATGGGATTTTTGAATTTTAAAATTTTGGAACAAACTCTGCAGTAATTTTTGCGGAAGTTGAGCAAAATTTTTTTTTGCCAAATTTTTTTTTTGGGGTCCATCGGCCCCGCGGGAGCGTTTCAAGCAGCTCTTCGGTTAGAGTCGCGTAGAGCATTTCCATTACAAAAAACTTCGGTTAGAGTCGCAAGCCATTTTCATTGAGAAAAACTTCGGTTAGAGTCGCGTAGAGCATTTCCATTACAAAAAACTTCGGTTAGAGTCGCAAGCCATTTTCATTGAGAAAAACTTCGGTTAGAGTCGCGTAGAGCATTTCCATTACAAAAAACTTCGGTTAGAGTCGCAAGCCATTTTCATTGAGAAAAACTTCGGTTAGAGTCGCATAGAGCATTTCCATTACAAAAAACTCGGTTAGAGTCGCAAGCCATTTTCATTACAAAAAACTTCGGTTAGAGTCGCAAGCCATTTTCATTGAGAAAAACTTCGGTTAGAGTCGCGTAGAGCATTTCCATTACAAAAAACTTCGGTTAGGTCGCAAGCCATTTTCATTGAGAAAAACTTCGGTTAGAGTCGCATAGAGCATTTCCATTACAAAAAACTTCGGTTAGAGTCGCAAGCCATTTTCATTACAAAAAACTTCGGTTAGAGTCGCAAGCCATTTTCATTGAGAAAAACTTCGGTTAGAGTCGCGTAGAGCATTTCCATTACAAAAACTTCGGTTAGAGTCGCAAGCCATTTTCATTGAGAAAAACTTCGGTTAGAGTCGCGTAGAGCATTTCCATTACCATGCAGGGTCAAAACCTTGTGTCTTTTTAAAACGCTCCCGCGGAGCCGATGGACCCCAAAAAAAAAAGTTGGAAAAAAAAATTTTTGCTCAACTTCATCAAAAAGTGCTGCAGAGTTTGTTCCAAAATTTTAAAATTCAAAAAACCCAATTTTTTTCCAGAATTTTTTTTTTTGCCATTTCCAAAAAAGACACAAGGTTTTGACCCTGCATGTTACAGAAAACTTCGGTTAGAGTCGCAAGCCATTTTCATTGAGAAAAACTTCGGTTAGAGTCGCATAGAGCATGTCCATTACAAAAAACTTCGTGGATGTGATTGGGTGAGGTGGAGTGGTGGTGTGGGTGGGTTGTGAGTGAGGTGGATGTGAGTGGTTGGTGTGGGTGTGAGTAGTGAGGTGGATGTGATTGGGTGAGGTGGGTGGTGTGTGGGTGGGTTGTTGAGTGAGGTGGATGTGAGTAGTGTGGTGGGTTGGTGAGTGAGGTGGGTGATGTGGGAGTGGGTGTGGGGTGGGTGGGTTGGGGGGTGGGTTGGTGAGTGAGGTGGGTGAGTGTGGTGTGGGTGTGAGTGGGGTGGGTGAGAGGTTGATGTGAGTGTGGTGTGGGTTGAGTGTGGTGCCAACACAGGTCAAACTGGATTTCTGTCTTGATCTTCCCTTTGGAAAGAGACACAGGCTAACATGCAGGGTCAGAACCTTGTGTCTTTTTAAACGCTCCTGCAGGGCCGATGGAGCCCTAAAAAATTTTTCGGAAAAAAAAGATTTTGCTCAACTTCCTCAAAAATTACTGCAGAGTTTGTTCCCAAACTTTTAAAATTCAAAAAACCCATTTTTTTTCTGGAAAATTTTTTTTTTTTGCCATTTTCAAAAAGACACAAGGTTTTGACCCTGCATATGCTAAACCAGGTTTCTGTCTTGAGCCACTTTCTTTCTTTTGCGACCCTTACCATGCAGGCATCCAAACCTTGTGTCTTTTTAAACGCTCTCCGGCGGAGCCGATGGATGCCCCCAAAAAAAAAAGTTGGAAAAAAAAAAATTTGCTCAACTTCCTCAAAAATTATGCAGAGTTTGTTCCAAAATTTAAAATTCAAAAAACCCAATTTTTTCAGGAATTTTTTTTTTTTTGCCTTTTTCAAAAAGACACAAGGTTTTGACCCTGCATGTTACGCAACCCTAACCGAAGTTTTTCTCAATGAAAATGGCTTGCGACTCTAACCGAAGTTTTTTGTAATGAAAATTGGCTTGCGACTCTAACCGAAGTTTTTTGTAATGAAAATGGCTTGGACTCTAACCGAAGTTTTTCTCAATGAAAATGGCTTGCGACTCTAACCGAAGTTTTTTGTAATGGAAATGCTCTACAAACGACTCTAACCGAAGTTTTTCTCAATGAAAAAGGCTTGCGACTCTAACCGAAGTTTTTTGTAATGAATGCTCTACACGACTCTAACCGAAGTTTTTCTCAATGAAAATGGCTTGCGACTCTAACCGAAGTTTTTTGTAATGGAAATGCTCTACGCGACTCTAACCGAAGTTTTTCTCAATGAAAATGGCTTGCGACTCTAACCGAAGTTTTTTGTAATGGAAATGCTCTACGCGACTCTAACCGAAGTTTTTCTCAATGAAAATGGCTTGCGACTCTAACCGAAGTTTTTTGTAATGGAAATGCTCTACGCGACTCTAACCGAAGAGCTGCCCGTTTCAAAAAGACACAAGGTTCTGACCCTGCATGTTATGTGTGCAAGAAAAGTAGCTCTCGAGGATGCAGAAAAGTCAGGTGACAGGCAGTAAACCCATTTTTTTTCCAGAATTTTTTTTTTTGCAAATTTTCAAAAAGACACAAGGTTTTGACCCTGCATGTTACCATGCAGGGTCAGAACCTTGTGTCTTTTTGGAAATGGCCAAAATTTTATTTCCGGAAAAAAATGGGTTTTTTGAATTTTAAAATTTTGGAACAAACTCTGCGGTAATTTTTGCAGACGTTGAGCAAATTTTTTTTTTTCCAAAAAAAATTTTTAGGGCTCCATCGGCCCCGCGGGAGCGTTTTAAAAAGACACAAGGTTTTGACCCTGCATGTTACACAACTTGTGTCTTTTTGAAAATTTGCAAAAAAAAAAAATCTGGCAAAAATTTGGGTTTTTGAATTTAAAAGTTTGGAACAAACTCTGCAGCAATTTTGGAGGAAGTTGAGCAATTTTTTTTTTTTCCAAAAAATTTTTTAGGGCTCCATCGGGGGCGCCCTAATCTCGACCTTTTTTGGGGGTTGTGCCCTTATCCCAATAATATTATCAGGCCAAAAAAAAATTCCGAAAAAATTTCCAAAATTTTTTTGGGCCAAAAAAAAAAAAATCCAAAACCACCCAATCCCAACTATGTACACACGAAACAGAGAATCAGCGAAAAAGCGAGCAAAAAGAGTGTTTACCATGCAGGGTCAAAACCTTGTGTCTTTTTAAAACGCTCCCGCGGGGCCGATAGAGCCCAAAAAATTTTTGGAAAAAAAAAAATTTTGCTCAACTTCCTCAAAAATTACTGCAGAGTTTGTTCCAAACTTTTAAAATTCAAAAAACCCAATTTTTTTCCGGAAATTTTTTATATTTGCCATTTCAAAAAGACACAAGGTTTTGACCCTGCATGTTACAAACCCTGGAGGAAGTCGGAAAAAACATGGAAAAAAGAACGGGAAAAAGACTTTCAAGTGCTCCAAGGCCAGACGATTGTAGTGTTGCAAAAGCTTCATTTTCTTTTCACTTGCTGTAACATGCAGGGTCAAAACCTTGTGTCTTTTTAAAACGCTCCCGCGGGGCCGATGGAGCCCTGAAAATTTTTTTGGAAAAAAAAAAATTTGCTCAACTTCCTCAAAAATTACCGCAGAGTTTGTTCCAAATTTTTAAAATTCAAAAAAATCCATTTTTTTTTCCGGAATTTTTTTTTTTTTGCCATTTCCAAAAAGACACAAGGTTTTGACCCTGCATGGTAAACAGTTAGTGTGGGAAAATGAAGACCTCCTTTATTATCGGGGTCAACTCCACACCTTTGGCGCGTGAGCTGGTCTGGACCGCTCATCTGCGATGGATGAATCGGGCGTTACGGCGCTCCGATATTGAGTAGTCCAGACGACAGAGTTTTTGAATTCCCCATCGTATCCAGTCACTCGCTCTCGTCCGGGCTCTCTTCGCATATCTTCTCAACGGTCTTCTTTTCTAATTTTTGACCAGTCTATATCATGCAGGGTCAAAACCTTGTGTCTTTTGAAAATGGCAAAAAAAAAAAAATTTCCGGAAAAAAATTGGGTTTTTTGAATTTTAAAAGTTTGGAAAAACTCTGCAGTAATTTTTGAGGAAGTTGAGCAAAATTTTTTTTTTCCAAAATTTTTTTTAGGGCTCCATCGGCCCCGCGGGAGCGTTTTAAAAAGACACAAGGTTTTGACCCTGCATGATATATTCCTTGAACATATTCGACGTCCAGTTTCCGGCCCGTAGGAGGAGACGTAACTCGGGGTTGGAGTCGTTGGAATCCTGTGCGGCACCTCTTCGGAAGCTGTGGGTGCCCACCCGATCATTGGTGTCTTGTACCGATTCGCCTTGGCCTTTATCGTCGAGAGCATGTCTGGATACGAAATGCTCCAGATGGGGCAGCCAGGCTCCACGTTGTCCCTAATGTAGGGCCACAAGCAGTGTACATGCAGGGTCAAAACCTTGTGTCTTTTTAAAACGCTCCCGCGGGGCCGATGGAGCCCCAAAAAATTTTTTGGAAAAAAAAAAATTTGCTCAACTTCCTCGAAAATTACTGCAGAGTTTGTTCCAACTTTTAAAATTCAAAAAACCCATTTTTTTTCCGGAAAATTTTTTTTTGCCATTTCCAAAAAGACACAAGGTTTTGACCCTGCATGGTACCATGCAGGGTCAAAACCTTGTGTCTTTTTGGAAAGTAATTTTTGAGGAAGTTGAGCAAAATTTTTTTTTCCCAAAAATTTTTTTAGGGCTCCATCGGCCCCGCGGGAGCATTTTAAAAAGACACAAGGTTTTGACCCTGCATGGTACGGGACATATCGCGCGCCAGCCCGTCTTCACGTGCATTTGGCGACATGTGCACCCTCTTGACAATACAGCACCTTGCAGCGAGTTTTTCCATCGAAGGGCAATGTACAGCTCGTTTTGGTAGAGGAAGACGGAGCTGTGGCGTTGTTTGTCCGTCACGACCTTGATGGCGGTATCATGCAGGGTCAGAACCTTGTGTCTTTTTAAAACGCTCCCCGCGGCAGCCGATGGACCCCAAAAAAAAAAGTTGGAAAAAAATTTTTTTGCTCAACTTCCTCAAAAATTACTGCAGAGTTTGTTCCAAACTTTTAAAATTCAAAAACCCCATTTTTTTTTCTGGAAATTTTTTTTTTTGCCATTTTCAAAAAAGACACAAGGTTTGTGACCCTGCATGGTATGCGGTACGTCGGTTCTGAGTCCTCTGCACAGAGGGAGAACTTCATCTTTCGTACGCAGAAGGTAGACGTACGAAATGACAGCGACGAAGTTTGAATTCGTGCAGCTGGTTTCGGGTTGGCGTCGTGGGGAGGCGTCCTTCACGATTCTGGTCGAGGAGGTGCACAGTCGATGGGATCCATCTTTCTTGTGGTCCCTGTTTTCGCGCCGCATCCCTTGCACGACCGCCTTCGTCTGGCGAGTTCGGATGGGTGTATCAATACCCATGAACCTTTGAATCTCCCGCAGGAGCGTTTAAAAAGACACAAGGTTTTGACCCTGCATGGTATACTTGACTCAGCGTGTTTGTGATCTGTTTTGCAACACTTTAAAGTCGTCTGCCTCGGATCACTTCATTTCAGAACTACGACTAGAGTATTGCTGCTCAAGTGCAAACTGCTACTATTACGGCGTAGAAGCGCACACCGGACACAAAAGCAAGAACGACCATGATGGCAGCACGACACGTGTCAAAGAGTTCTAAGGTCGAATATCGGCTTTGTGCAGTATCATCACAAGCACCTGGTCTTTTTTTAGAGTTGTCGTTTTCAGAGTTCTTTTTTTCCGACGTTTTTTTCTCGACATTTTTTCAACCTTTCCCCCCCCAATTATTTTTCCGGAACTTTCTCCGAAAAAGGTACCGATAAGGTCGCAATCAAAACATAGGTACCATGCAGGGTCAAAACCTTGTGTCTTTCTGAAAATGGCAAAAAAAAAAATTCCGGAAAAAATTGGGTTTTTTTGAATTTTAAAAGTTTGGAACAAACTCTGCAGTAATTTTTGAGGAAGTTGAGCAAATTTTTTTTTTT